TCTGCCATGAAACCGTACTAGTAGTGGAATTGGTAAAAGCACTCCTTAAACTCCTTAAATATTCCATTTGCCTTGTAAGCTCTATTAGAGTCACTATAAGTTGATTCTGATCTAACAGCAAACAACACATTCATCCTGGATCCAATAAAGTATTTAATAAAGTCCTGACTGTTATCCAAAAGATGAAAGGATGAGCTTGAGAAGGTGATCTTTGAGCAATTTCAGTTGTTTTGGACAAGTGAGGAGACAAGAGGTTCACCTGGCACAGAAACGTGTAGGTTCGATTTTGCAAGGTTGGGTGTTCTAAATAAAAACCTGGGACCTGGTTTAAAAGGGACCACTTTCTCCCTTACAGGTCCATTTGATTATTATAGTCATCTAGAGGGGCCCTTCTAGTAATGCCACATGCTCCTCATTTGTATTGATCTTGAGAAGTACCATGAAGCCGCTCCATCACACAGTTCAATTAGTAAACATACAATATTGCTAAATTTTGATTACATTTCTTATACGTACAGTTACAAGAATAATGGTATCCCTAGTAATTAATTTGCTTGTGTTTTACTATTATGATTATTACCATCCCTCTTATGACTATGACATTTACAGATACTAAACAGCATATTTATGAATTTTGAATCAGACTTATTTAGGTAATGGAGTTTGGGGTCTGTTTTCTATTGAGGAATCATAATTTTAAGTACTCTTCTTAAAGTATTTATAACAGGTATTTATAACAGTGTTTTGAAAAACATTTTGAAAAATGTCATTTCCTATATGTTTCTTTTCATTTTAGCCTGTGCTCATTTTATACAGAGACTGTTTTTTTTCTTGGGACATTGGCCATGAATTATTCACGATTTATCACTGCAGTAAGTGCTGCAAGGAAAGCATCTCCAATAAGAGTCCTCAGTGAGTATGCACTCAGTTACCGGAATCTCCGGTTTTGCTAAAGTAAGGGTTTGTGGTGCATAGGTCTATTATGTGGGGTAAATGAGCAGTAGGAGAGGTGCTCTCATGGTTAGGGGGGGTGCATGCGCACGCACACACAGGAAGTACTCTAGAAGTTCATATCATACACATGCCACTTTCAGTTTCTGTCTCAATTCGACACCATAGATATGCAAAATGATGACAAAAGGTCTAAATCCAGACCCCTGTGTATTCAGTTATGACTATGATATGGTATAAAATTCAACAAAGTACTGTATTTAGAAACACTGCCCAGATATTAAAAGATAAGACCTCCCCTGCCTTCATACTCTCATTCTAAGACACTTCAGAGAAGAAGGAGGGAATTGCGGGCAGAGGAACAAACAGCAAGGCAGTGGTTCCATCTCTGGATAAGGATGGCTCCAGGTTGGTTTCAAAGTGTTAGACTGCAACTCAGGACACCTGGCTCCAAATCTCCACTCCACCATGAAACTCACTGGGTGACCTTGGGCCACTCAGGTCTATCAGCCTGACACACCTCCCAGGGTTGTTGTTGTGAGGAAATGGTAGAGGGAGGAGAGCCACGTATGCAGTCTTGAGCTTATTGGAGGAAGGGTAGGCTATAAATACACCTAATAATAGATGTAGTAGCTTTTGTATGTGTTTCAGATTTGGATGGCCTTATTATTCTTTGGGGATTCCTTCTGATATTTTATCTAAGTACCTCCCTTTTTTATTCTTCTTTACTTTAGCTGAGCTGATGCAAAGATCTCCCCCATCATTAATTTCACTGGCTGGAGGGGCACCAAATCCCAATACTTTCCCTTTCAAGACAGCAAGCATTGCCATCGGAGATGGAACAACAGTAGAAATTGGCGAAGACTTGATGAAGAGAGCTCTCCAGTATTCTGCCTCAGCAGGGTATAATAAAGGCACCTAAAAACTACAAAACTGCCTTGTGCTTTTGAAGTAACAGGCTCTTTAAAAGGGATGTTCCAAATAAATGCTGGGAAAGGAAGTGTGGTGTCCTGTATCCTTTATGTGGTGCCCAAAGCACAATTACAACAATTCTTCTGCCTTTGCTAGTGAAAACTCAGTAATTTGTAGTGAAATGAGATGATTTAATACATATTGTTCAAAGTTGAATAAATGTCTCACACAGCACTTGATTTTCCTTACATCCATATTTAGTGCATGTTTTCTTGTGATTGGTCATTGGAAAGTAAACACAGGCTTAATTTACAAGTCTGATTGCTGAGGTACTTATCTCTGAGGAAATCCTGTCATAGATGGAGAAACAGATTAATAATTCAAAATACACATTCTGCTTAACTTCTAGTTTGAACTTCATGACAATTTTAAGGAGTAATTTGATTAGGGGAAAGGTACAACTATGTGAATAGGTCTTGTAGAGGATTTCACCTAAATCATAGCAGCTGAAGCAGCATCAGGTATAGGACCAGACTGTAAGTCAAGTTCTAAAGGAACGTGGATTTTGCACATAGAGAAGTAAAATTTAAAATAATGCTTAATCTTACATAAGACTCTCACATAGATATACCTAACGTTTATAGAACTTTGCATTATTGTTTTTGTTATGTTCCGTCAAGTGTCTTCCAACTTATGGCAGCCCTATGAATGAATGATCTTCAAAGCATTCTGTCCTCAAGTCACCTAAATCATAGCAGCTGAAGCAGCATCAGGTATAGGACCAGACTGTAAGTCTTAAGTTCTAAAGGAACGTGGATTTTGCACATAGAGAAGTAAAATTTAAAATAACACTTAATCTTACATAAGACTCTCACATAGATATACCTAACGTTTATGGAACTTTGCATTATTGTTGTTGTTATGTTCCGTCAAGTGTCTTCCAACTTATGGCAGCCCTATGAATGAATGATCTTCAAAGCATTCTGTCCTCAACTGCCCTGCTCAGTTTTTGTAAACTCAACTTGTGGCCTCTTTTAGAGAGTCAGGTCATTTTGTATTGAGTCTTCCTCTTTTCCCAGTCTTACTGTCTTTTCCAGAGAATCTTACCTTCTCATGACGTGCCCAAAGTATGACAGATTCAGTTTCAACCTTTTTGCCTCCAGAGATAGTTCAGTCTTGATTTGATTAAGAACCCACTTGTTTGAACTTGCATAGATACAGTATAACAAACAAAACAAAGCACGTGACCCAAGGCTGGCTTATGATGGTTCACTCTGAACAATGATTTCCACTGATGCAATTACACCCCACGTCTGGGGTGTTCTCAACTGTCTTTCTTGCCCGTGGCATATATCTGTCACCCACTCTGCCTCCTCTGTTGCTTTTCTACTGTCTTTGTTCTGCGTTTCTACATAGGACCCATCATCTGGATAGACAGCACTGCCCCAGGTTGGATACAAGGAGCAGTGTATGCAAAGGCACAGATAGGAGTGGAAGTTGTAGAAGAAAAGGAGAACAAAGCAGGCTCCAGCAGCACAGATGGTTGCTTGCTTGTTGGCTGGTGATGTGTCAAGGCTCTCCTCTTCCAGTAAAATATCCTCAACACGAAACAGAAATATCCCCAGTCTTCTTCTGCCCAGTTGTTCAGTTTCATACAATCTGTAGAAGCTGGCACATCTGTATCTTTACAGTTAAGGTCACAGTTCCAACAATTTGGCTAGGCATGTCTGATTGATTGTCCTCATTACAGACCTTGGAAAATGTGTTTTGGGATACAACTACCAGAATTCCTCAGTCAACATTAAAAAAGTACGTTTCCCAAGAATCTGTCCTTGCCTTGCTTCATATTTTAATTAATACATAATTACTTTTAAGACTGAAACCAATTAGAAAACATTGCATATGTTCACTGGAGGATTGTTATAATGCAAAAAATATGTTTTCCAAGCTCTGTCTACTTACAAGGTTAGTGTTTCTTGTATAATGTATGCATAATGCCTTTTAATACTAAAGCCAACTGGAAATCAAGATAAAGGGTCTTGGGAAATGTAGTTTTTGCTGGTTTGTTTGTTCTAACTACAACTCCCATAGTCCCCCAGCCAGAGGGGTTTCCACTGTGCAAATGAGAAGTCATCCATAATTTGCTGCATGTTTTAATGGATATACCCTTTCCAAGTGAAAAGAATCAGAAGCTAAAATAAACAGGTGGCCTGAGGCAGACTGGGTTTGGCCAAAGTAGCCAAAATAAATCTGCATTTGGTTTAACAAATAGTGCCTGCAAAATATTAACTAGAGTCCTACAGCACTGCTCCTCTTGTGCTCATCTTTCTTCCTCGTTTCCTCTGGTCTGCTTCCTGGATCCTCCTTCCTTCCTTCTCCTGTTACTTCTTGCCCCCATCTCCTCCTCCTCCATATCTAAGACCCACCACAATTACCTTCATCTGTTCTGGGGTGCCAACTTTGCTTGGCTTGCTGGTTGCCACAGTAAGTTGCACATTTGTATTAAGTTTCTACCAGTCTCCCTTTACTCTTTGGAAATAAAAATACATCCAACAGGCTTTTTTTCCCTGTTTCTCCTCTTCATATTTGATGCACTTTTGTAAAATTCAGTTTCCCCAAATTTGGAGTTAATCTCTCTCTCCGGGCATCTGTCCATTTTCAAAGCCATTGCTGCAATGTCATTGGCACTCCTCCCTGACTTCAGTGTTAGTCAAAAAGTATCTCAAATACCTTTGCTTTTATATTGATCAGAGTTCACCATATAGCATTAATATTAAATAATGTAGCACCAAAATTTCCTGTACAAATTAATTCACACCTTGTTTCTTCTAGGGAAAACATTCACAAACTGACAATTAAAGGTATATCTAGAGTGGTAATTCTACCAGATAGGCAGGGTATAAATAAATAAATATCTGTCTTGTCAAGTAAAGGATAAAAGAGGAAAATATCAAAAGATGGTTTGCAGAATATTATTTAATTAAATTAGTGATAAATCAAATTAATTTTCAGTATTCCAGAGCTGCTGTCCTGGCTGAAGGATTTACAGACGTGCCTCCATAAGCCCCCAACCATAGATTCTGCACCTGAAGAAGGACAGATGGAACTGTGTGTCACCACTGGAAGCCAAGAAGGGTTGTGTAAAGTAAGGGGAAAATCTATATATTAAGGATTGCACTGAATAGGACATTTATTCTTTAGTGCCATAGTAGATGCTTTCATTGTACAGTCCATTGTACAGTCCATGCAAATACTACAGATGACTGCCAAATAAAATCTTTGGCAGAAACAATTTAATGCATCTAAAATCCATGTACTTGGCCTATAGGTTCATAATCAGGGGGATTTAATTTGAACCAAATTTATTTAAATCACAATGCAGAAAGACTTGATTTAATTATGTAACCCACCACCTATAAGTGCACTCTTGTTTGATGTAGCCTTAATTCACATATGTTATTTTCAATTTTTTTTCAGATTAGTTTTGCTGTTCACTTGGAAAATGAGCTATTTGTTACCAATAACTCCAGTTGCAATTGGAAAATATTTATTTCTCATTTTCATATATTGTTGTTTACAAGTATTTATATCTGAATATAAAAACACAGCTGAAGAGTTGAAGAACATCAAAAATTTTCTGATGATATCTTTTAGACCGAGTACTACGGAAGGCAAAATGATTAGCCTAAATAGTCTATACAAAAACCTATGGAAACCCATAATGAAACTGAGGCAACAGACTAAATAATTGTTGGACCTTATTTTGAAGACCTTTTTTAAAAAAGATTATATGAATGCCTTTTATTCATCCTAATATAGAATTAGGATTTTTAATTCCCATTTTATAAAGATATTTTGAGCTATAAAACATTTTTAATTAAAATGTTCAATCTGTAGAGCCTCATGGTGCAGTGATTAAACTGCTGTACTGCAGCTAAAACTGTGCTCACAACCGGGGGGGGGGCAATGTAGGGCCTGCATAACTAACTTGTAAACCGCCCAGAGAGTGCTTGAAGCGCTTTGGGGCAGTATATAAGCAGCACACTTTGCTTTGTTAAGCAAAGTATGTTAACAATAAAAATTTAAAAATGTAAAATTCTGATTTAAATTCAAAAATATGGTTTTTAATATTTTTAAAAAAATTGATTGGAGTCTTAACAGGGCTGTGGCTTTAGGGGAGAGAAGATCACAGATGAGATGCAACAATAGTGGCTGTTACCTCTTGCAGTTGGGAACAACTTTCCTCAGGCAGTGTTTCATCTGGATAAGTTTGTCTTCTTTCCATCGGATCTTTTACAGTTATTTCCAGGAGACTGTTTGCATTGCTTAGACCAGAATTTACTTCATTTTACACCACAGAACACATTTTTAAATGTGCAATTCTGAATCTAACAGAACCAATGTCCCTCATTACTAGACTGCACGTCAATATGTACTGTTTTGGACGGTGATTAGTGAATTAAAGTTTACTACTGAATAAACATTTTAAAATATGTATCTTTTTGCAGTGCAAGAGCCCCTTGCTGACTTTTCAGTGTAATTTCTTTCCACTTACTTTCTTAGAAATCTAAACATGGATTGTAATGATATTATTAATTAGTATTCCATTTATTGACAATCTACTATCCATTCAAGTGGCTTAGATCTGTACTGTCTTACAGTAAGAAAATTATAAACTTTTCTTTTTTCACTGATACTGCGAGACGGTATTGAGAAATGCATTGGGAGTTAACTTCTTATGTGGTGGATAACTAATGTAATGCCCAGTGTTCACTTTCCATGCTTTTTTAAAAGTAGCTTTTGGTCCATAAGAGAGTTAAACCTTTTTTTAACAATTTTATTACAATTGAATATCAGTAGAAGTAGAGAGAAATATTGGTATACAAACACTCTTGTAAAATAATGTGGGCTTTTGCAGGTATTTGAAATGCTTATTAATCCTGGAGACACCATTCTTTTGGATGCACCCACCTATCCTGGGACACTAGCAGCTGTAAGTATCCCATTGGCAGCCTATGACAATGAAGATAAGTGGTACTGCTTAAAACTTTTAAATTTGTGGGTTGCCACTTATTCCTTGTACAGGGCTAGAATCCTGACACTCTACTTTTAAAAGTCAATTACGTGTTAGAGTTACAAATGTCAGTCAACAATCAATATGTCTTATCTCTAAATGTGCATGCCTTTCTCAGATCCTAATTTAGCCAGGGACTAGAAGGGCAGGATTAGCATTGGCTCATTTCAGTATTCATACAGGTTTTAAGGACAGGATATTGTAGACGGGTCCATGGGATAAATTCTTATGGGTGCACTTCTGCAAATCTGCATTACTAAAAATGGCAACTACAGGTTAGCCCTGAAATTGGAATGGCCTGGAACCATGTGGGCTCCTGAATTTCCATGAGATGATCCATAAAGGGAAAGTCCAAGGCAGAATTATTAACATGAATATGTGTTTGCTTCACAAGTTCTAAACAGCTGCAGTTATACCCTGCACAATTTTCTCCACATTTTCTTTCTCTACTGCAGGCGAACAATTGTGGCCCTCCAGCCATTGTTAAACTGCAGTTCCCATGACATATTATCACTGGGAATGCAAACTAGGAATAATGGGAGATTCAGTCTAACAACCACATCTGGAGAGGCACAAATTTCCCACACTTTTTGTACATAGTTCTTCCCTATGCACAGAATCCTGATGTTTGCACATACACCAGTACACTCACATACCGCTACTGACTATACTTTGTCTGATTTTTTTATTTAGCTGATGTGGTTGTGAAAGACACCTTCTATAATATGTCTGTCTTGACCTAAAGATTTCTCTGCACATTACGCAGATACTGTTTCCTCCATCTCATGTACATAACAGGGGCTGTGTAGAGCGAGGGTAATAACATTAGTAACTTTTGTTAATGCTGCATAGAAGCAAGAATTAGCCTCTAATAGTGAGGCAAGAATTAGCACAAGCGGACAGGGCCTGTAATGCAAAGTCTGACAGTTGAATGTCAGATTTTATAGAAAGCTTATCAAGACTACCAACATCCAAGTTTATTCTTCAAGTACAGGTACTGAAGAAAAAATTATAGCTATACAGCATCCAGTAGGAAATTGATCACGCAACAGGATATAGTGATAACCATAGGTGATTGGGACACAAAATTAGAAAATAAAGCAGAACCAAACATTATTGGAAAATTTGGCCTAAGAGTCAGAAACAATGCAGGAGAGCAACTACAAAGCCAGCAATTTGTTTATTGCAAATGATTGTGTAGTGTAGAAATCAGACACATTATGTAATTTGAACCAGAAGATGGAGGAAGTCTTTCTTTCTGCAAAAACAAGATCAGCATAGCAGCGACCATGAACTGAACTTGGACTATTATGCTTTGAACACATCATGAGAAGACAAGACTTACTTGGAAAAGACAATAATGCTAGAAAAAGAGGAAGATGGAACACAAAATGGATTGACTCTCTAAAGGAGCCCAAGGCCTTTAGTTTGCAAAACCTGAGGTTAATGATAGGACTTTGTAGAGCTCATTAACTCATTAACTCACAGCAAGTCAAAAGTGAATCAGTAGCACAATATGACAACAGAAATCTAGTTCTGATTTTGGAAAATGGGTATTTGGAACTATTAAATGGTTCAGCAGGGGCAATACTCTATTTAAAAGATGAATAGCAGCGTCTTGAAGCTTTCAGGAGCAGCAATATACTGATTTTTGCTTGGAAGGAAAAAAAACTGGCAGGGACATCTGAGAGACAAGAGGCCACAAAAACAGCATTGAGGGACCACATGCCACCCCAGGACCGCACTTTGCCCCACCCACACCCCCTGGCTTTCAAGATACAAATGGCCAACTCTCATGTGTAAGTCCAATTCTATGGTTCTGCCATGTTATGCATGCAGCGCATGCATTTAGATGAAATACGCTAATACATAAATTCAGAGAAATGCTAGAATAAATGCTGGAATAAATCTTGTTCCTGTCAATATTACATATAATAGTTCAGCATTTCCTGCTACTGCAAATCACTATGCGTGCCCAAATGATTTATTATGTGACTTAATGTATTATTGGCAATGTTTTTGCATTATCCATTCAGGGTGGGGACGATATAAAACTCGAATGCAGTCACGTTTCGTTTATGGCCTAATAAATGAAGCACTACGTAGTACAGAAAGAGAAATTGCAGACTCTTTAGTTTATATCTCAGCCAGAATTGCCTGCATCTTTCTGTTTTCTCTGGCCACTCCATTAAAGTTACTGAAATTTCAGTCCTGCTGATGAAGGTCTTCGGCTTAGAGTAGTTGTCCTTTGTTCTGAAGCAAGTTGTGCGTGATTTCAGCAGTTTCTCCCAATCAAAGATGACAGATGGTGTCACTTTGGACATTCAGATTTCCTAAATATGAAGGGAAAATGGAAGCAGATACCATGAGCCCGAGCTGTTTCTGTTGACAGAGAAAATCTGAAGAGAAAGGGATTGCATATGGCTGAATGTGATCATCAGAAATTGGAAAAGCTGTTTCTTGGATTACAGCTCCCAGAATCCCCTGCCAGCATGACCAGTATATGCCCCCTGTGCTGGCTAAGAGACTGTTTTAACCTATAAAGCTTTCTCAAAAACTGTTTGCCTGGGTGTTGAGATCATCAGGGGAAGACCTTTTTCTCAGTCCCACCACCCTCACAAGTGTGCTTGGTGGGGACAGGGGAGAGGGCCTTCTCTCTTGCTGCTCCCAGACTCTGGAACTCCCTCCCACAGCAGGCCAGGTAGGCCCCATCTTTGCTGTCCTTCCACAAGCAGGCAAAGACCTTTCTCTTCAAACAGACTTTCCCTTAGTGATTGGTGCTCTGAGAAGAATTTTAAAATGCAGTGTTTTGCCTTGTGGCTTTGAATGTGTTTTTGGTATAGATTTTGTTTACCATCTTTAGGATGGTATTTGTTTGATTCTTCTAAAATATTTATATATGCATTGTTTTTAGCTTTTAAATATTGTTTTTTAATTATGTAAGCCACCTTGGGTCCTTTTTAAGGAGAAAGGTGGGGTAAATATTTTAAATAAATTAAATTTAACAAATACTTCAAAATACAACTTTTCCAAGCTTTGATGACTATAGTGCTTCACACGGTTTGGAAGTCAGCACTGTAACTACGTTAAGCTAAATGCACCTACAGTTCCTCCTCAGACCCTTTCTATCAGCACATAGTGGACAGTTTGGGGCAAATAGTACAACACATTCACAGTTTAGAATTTGTTTGGTTTTTACTTGAAAATTAGGAGAAATAAAGAGTATGGAATCTTCTTCACAGATTAGGGCAGGAAACCTGACTGTACATTTAAGATGGAGCTGCTTCAAATCCGGTTTATCTCAAACACTAGAAAAAGTTAGGTTTACACCTACAAAATAAAATGTATAAAGGGGCCATAATGCTAAATCTAATATTAGTGATATCTAGAGCAGACCCATTGAAATCAATTGGTTTTGCTGTTTACAACTCTGATCTCAGTAGGACTGAATGGGATTTAACTTCTACAAGACAGTTTACACATATGGTTGCCATCTGAAGGCTTCCCCATGTAACAGCTGTGGCCAGATGGGAGCTGCTCATATTAAATAGGGCTTCACACCAATTAAAACATAAAGAATAAAGATGTGAAGATCTGAGATGAGATTTACAGAACTGGAAAGATGAAATGCTCGACACAAACAGCTCACTATATAAAGGTGGACATCTTATAGAACCACAACTTGAAGAAGTCATATTTTTATCACAACTTCCAGAATCTCAGCCAGCCAGTGTTATAACCAAATGATGTAACTTTTCCAAACCCTCAGTTCTGAGCAGCTGGTGACCCTGCATCCTTCAGAATGTTGTGGAGAACAGTGTGAGAAATAGAGAAGTGTGGACCAGCTCTGAGTAGTGAAAAATCACAATAGGAAGAAGACATCTCCCCAAGTGATTAGCTATTCTAGTTCATAATTGTCCCTCAATGAAAAGTAATTAGGTCACTGTCTTAAAGGCACATTTCATTCACATGAAGACCACTGTAATGTGAGAATTAAAGCATTTAGAAGTCATTCATTAATTTACAGGAAAATGATCACCACTGAAATATTGTACTGAGTACAGAAAATCAGACTGTGAAATCTAAGATGAATTTCTTTATGTGATCGCTCTTTTCTCTTGTTATTTTTCTTATTAATATAGCTGAGGCCACTGGGCTGTAATATTATCAATGTCCCCAGTGACCAACATGGGATTATTCCTGAAGCCCTGAAAGAAATTCTTTCCAAGTGGAATCCAGAAGATGCAAGAAAGGTTAACAGCAGTCTCCCCAAATTTCTCTACACAATTCCTAATGGTGGCAATCCTACTGGAGCCTCACTGACAGCAGATCGCAAGAAAGACATCTATAAGGTAACCCGATCTACATGTCACAGCACAAAGAATCATAACTCATAATACCACCTCAGATGAATCTTCTGAACGTTATGTAGCTCATACTAGCTGTATACACATCATGAACACAAGAAATGGGCCATTAATAATATAAGGACCCTATGGAGAAGAGACAATGCTTCTGAATGTGTTATCTGCACAGAGATATATAGCGCTGATTCTGGGACCTTTTTGTGCTGAATCTGGATTCCAAATAGAGAATCATTTAGTATCATTAATAATGCAGTACTTTTAGCAATAATTTTGAGTACAGCAGTTGATCAACTCTGATGGAGATAAATCACAAACTGTGCCATATAAGCTCCTTACCTATCCGCAAAAGAGGCAGTTATTTTTCTTCCTCTTTTGTAAGGCTGTTTCTCAGAAATGTCTCCAGCTACTTACCTTACTTCAATGAGACATTGGTGTTGGCTGTACTCCTGCACTTTTGAGCCTCCCATCCTGCTCAGGTAAAAGCCATAACATCCTGGCTTTCTTCTGTGGCTGTTCCCGCCTGCTGAGTGTTTGAAGAATCAGCAGCGTTTGTTGTTGTTGCCATTAAAAAGTAAAAAATGGCAGGCAAAAAGTCATTTCAGAACCAACAAAAACCAGAAAACCATCATTCAGGTTTCAGGTGCCCAGAAGGCAGCAGCATTAGATAGCCCCAAGGCAGCAGACCATCAGCTCATGTCCTCTAGGCAGATTTTCAGAAAGCCATGGAGGCTGCCAAACAGGGGAGAATGGCACATACTTTGTGTGATAAAAACACACGCGCACACACTTCACTCACCTCATTAGAGTAAGGTAAGACACATCAGCCCCAGAACTCTGCACAGGTTGTGGTAAAAGCCGAGAAGATCCTGCTCGTTTTTATAAATCTGCCTGCAGTGTCATTGTGTTTGACTTTCCTTGAACTCCATATTCATCCAATTTAGCAATCTTATTTTTTAGTACAGAAAATAAATAAATCTTTTATGGTTAATTTGCCCATTTAACAGGTATAATTTTGGAACCGGTGGTTAAAGCATTAGTTAATGAAACACATTCCGTTATGATTTCATACACTTCGTTTTGATCCATCAGATTCCAGACATGAAAATCTGAAAGTCAGCCTCCCCAGTCAAGTCAGACTTGGGGAGAGTTGATTCCTATAGAAAGAGCTACATATATATTCTGTTATTCATGTGGATCAACAACAGATTCCTCACTCCACTTTCATTTTAGATTTTTTTTTTTACTGTAAGGATTTATGACCTGAACTTACTTACATTTTCTGCTGCTAGAAAGGACCATGTTTGCAAGCCATTATGGACAGCTGTATAAATATAGTAAATAAATAGATGCACACAGATCTTGGAAGCAGGGCAATGAGTTCTCACAAATGAACGTGAAATTAAATTTGAATATATCTGGAACATCTGGAGACTGCCTGGTAATATAGGATTGTGGAATGAAAGAAATTTGGACCAGTTAGAGAAATGTACTCATTAAATGCTTCTGTATTATATGTATGTGTCACTATTTGTTGTGTTTTCCCCCCTTTCAGCTTGCAAGGCAGTATGACTTCCTTATAATAGAAGATGATCCTTATTACTTCCTTCAGTTTAATAAGGTGAGTCCCTAGTTAGGATCACTGCTATTATCTGGATTAGAAGAGATGAGAATGTTTACCTTGCCTTGCATCCTTTTGATAGCATGTTCCTGATTACCTTTTGGAGCAGTCACTTCCCTTCCCCCCTACCTTCTTTTTGGTCCAGATTTTTACCTGAATATTGCTGTTCTCAAAATGGCAGAACTAGAACTTAATAATAAGAATAAGAATAAGAATAACAACAACAACAACAATAACAATAACAACAACAGTAGTAGTAGTAGTAGTAGTAGTAGCAGCAGCAGCAGCAGCAGCAGCAGCTTCTCATTCCCCTGCACACACGGATAGTGAAAAGCAGATATTACAGCTAACACAGTCTGTTGGACATAGGGCTCCCCTGTACCTGTAATTTTTATCTCAGTGGGGCCTCTATGAATAAGAGCTGAGTTGAGATCTTATCATTCCTTTGCTGAAGACAGCCATCTCTCTCACACAAACACACACACACACAATTTCAATGGCTCTTCGGGTTTTCTTCAGAGACAATAATCCCATGTCCATGTTTGCTCAAGAGTGTTTAGTAAGGGGCTAGCTGGAAGGCAGGAAGGGCGGGAGATGGGAAACCTCTCCTAGGCTTATGTTAGCATCCCTCCTCTTGCCTTGCTAGCCAATCCAGCTCTGAAATATATGATACTGCTCTTGATGGAAACTGCCACAACTAGACAAAATGGCAGAGACTTTCCTATATAGCAGGGGTCCACAACCCCTGGTCTGTGACTCGGTGCCGATCTGTGGCCTTGGCAGGACTGGGTCGCAGAGATAGATCTTCCGGTGGCCCCACACACACATGACCTGCGCCCCGCCCATCCGCAAGCACAGGAGTGCCCCGTCCCCCCCAACCGGTCCACGGTTCAGAAAAAGTTGGGAACCACTTGTATACAGGATAACATCTAGTGGCCAGTCCAATAATTACATCTTGAAAATCTGTATTTGTAGGTATTGTCATTTAATATATTTAGCATTTTCAGACCATGGATAAGTGACTCAGCGGATATTGATCCAGCAGATATGGGGGTCTTATTATATATAAATGTGATACCCTTGCTGGGAGTGTCTGTGTCTATATGAGATGGTTCCTGGAAGTAGGGTTAATAGGATGATGTTGAAAGGAAAGTGAGACATTCAGCCTTTCTTGTGTTCTCTTTCTCTCCTTCCTTGCCTTCTCAGTTCCTCTAACATGTTTCTGTGCATCAGTTGTTTTGGAGAAGACCTCATCCTGTTGACTAGATGGAAAGAGAATATGGGGAGGAAGCAACAGGTGGAGATTATTCTGTCATGTGACTAGAATGAATGTTGTGTGTAGACATTCTTTTTATTTTAAAAAAAGCACTTTTTCAAAATCTGTTATGAGCCTCCACTTGTAAGAACCATAGTTTTAAAATTGATTTTATATTCACGATTTTTTGTATTCTTTCCTCAAGCCTTGGGCACCAACCTTTCTTTCAATGGACACTGATGGCCGAGTTATCAGGACTGACTCTTTCTCTAAGATCCTCTCTTCTGGGTAAAGTTCAATTCACATTTAGGACCTTGTAGACGGGGTGAAACTCAGGAGACCTGAGTTCAAATCCCCACTTGGCTATGGAAACTCATGGCACGGGCGCAGCACAGGGAGGGATTCTCCTCAAATGTCTCACATACCTTGAATGCTGTATTAGAGTCTGTCTCTGTAAGTTGGATGTGATGACAGAACATAACACACATGCACAGTTACAGCAGACAGGTGGAAACATAGCAACGTGGCTTGGACCTTTGAACCACAAAATTTAGAAAATCCTTCAGAGTGTTAACTATAAAGTGAAAGAAGAGGACGTATGTGTAACAAATGTTTAATGCTCACTTTATCCAAATCATTGCAAAGTACCAAATCTTGAGATGTCTGGTCTCCTTGATCAACTTCCATATGATTCTTTTCTGCCTCCTACCTGTTTTGTAATTCTCTTTTGTTGATTTGGAGATAAATATCGCAGAAGATAGGTCTTTCAAATCAATGAGTAGGAAACCTAATCATAGCTGGGTTTTTTCTGTTTTTTACATAGGTTAAGAATTGGGTTTCTAACTGGTCCAAAACCTCTTATTGATAGAATTATTCTTCATATACAAGTATCCACAATGCATACCAGTACTTTCACTCAGGTAAGAATCATGGTTCCCAAAACAGCTATGTTGTCCAAACCTTTGCTTCTTTCCTTGTAGGACAACTGTGTGTAACACAATGCAATTGTGGTATCTTACATAAACCATGGAGTCATCTAGTTACATCAGCCACACTCAGAAAGCCCTGGACTGATGCATATAGTGTTTGCTTCTGAGCTATGAGTGTCAGACAGTATTATTCTGCAAAATTAGGATGGTCATCTTAGTAGACTTAAATAACTTTTGGATAACCAAAGCCTCCTGGGCCGCAATTCATCCATCTGGCATGACCAGTATAGATTTTTTTTTAACAGTAAGGAAGGTGTGGGATGCTTACACAACATCTTTAGAAGATCCCTTTAGGCTGATATCTCATTGAAGAAGTTAAACCATCACCTGAGAGCAAACCCCACTGAACTTTGGAGTGGTTTCACATACTAATACCCTTAACAATTATGCTATTCTAGGTTCTATATTAGTAATGATTTGATAAATGAGAAAATGTTTAATATAGGCTTTATTTCTATAGATTATGATAGCCCAGCTTCTTCAACAGTGGGGGCAAAAAGGTTTCCTCAACCATGTAGAAAGGTAATATCTATATATTTATGTACTATATTATTGATGCTGATTTTCTTTTTCATTATTATACTTCTACTATTCTGCATTTGTGAAGTTGTGTTGGGGAGGTTGCAGCTAAGTTAATGTATCATTGAAGAAGGGTTTTTTTTTCAGAGATTTGAATAGCACTTTACTAAAAGTTAATGCAAGACATTCAGATAAATCTCCAGGCAAGTCAATGTAAAAATAACATCTCCTCATT